ATGCATGTTTTGAAATATGCTTTTCCTGTTGTCACAGAAAGGTTACTCTGAGATGCAGAGAGTTCCTGAAGACCTTGAAAGTAGAAGGTATACCAATGTTAGACTCACTAATTAATTATTAAACATGTGCAAGTTTATTCTTTTCCTTCAATTACACATATGGTTATACCTTTAAGTCCTTGAAGTGATCAACATGCAACTGGTAGATAGTAACATTATAAGGAAGATATTCTGAAACAAATCATTTTTATTATTTCTCTCTTTTCAATGTTATTGTGCTGTTTCATCTTCTTAGAGTTAGAAGGGATGTTGATGTCTTTGACAGGGCTCTTGCCAACAAAACTGCTGTTGTAAAGAAAGATACTGAGGTATGATATATACAACTATTAACCCTTTACACCTGAACATCAGTATCCATATTCTCCATACTCTTCTCTGTATGTTTCTTTTGGTACGGACAAGGAGAATTCATTTAAGGATAAATGTTTCTTAGGTTGGCAATCATTTCCCTTATTCTCATGATCTTAATAAATGGTTTAGCAGTATTACTGTAAGGAGAAACTAGATGCTGGTCACTCCTAGGGTTTTAAGGGGTTAATATTATTATGGTAACCATAGATGAAATTTATGTGCAGTTTTTTCTTTGCAAAAAAATATCATTTCATGACTTTTTCATAACTAAAAATTTTTTTTTGCTCTTTTTGCAGGGATTTTCAGCAGCTGATGAGTTTAACAGGATGAAATATGAAGGTAAATTTAAATTTTTCATTATTACATATCATCCAATTAACTAGTATGTGTGTTCTAGATAATTGCAGGTTACAAAGTGTAGTGAGGTAATGATAAAATGCAAGTCAGAGAGTCAATTGATGTTTTTTCTTGCCTACTTATTGTTTATAAATTTATTTATCTTTCTGGTGTTTAGAAACATCTTCTCTTGCTGGGGAATTCAGAAGCAAGTTTCCAGATCCAGTGTCCACTGGCAGTGTGTTAGATCTTCAACAACAGGCCTATCTCAGGTTAGCATTGACAGTGTAAAGATTACAATGCTAATGATGAGTTCATCGAAGTGGTCTTTAGAGCTGATTACAGGTGGCAGAACAGCAGATACAAACACTAGAGACTAATAAATGCACGAGTTTGAAAGACATTTATTCATAGTTGATAAAGTGTTAATTCATTTTTTGTGTTTCATCTATAGAGAACAAGAAGGCAAACTTGCAGCATTGAGATCAAGTGAGTGAATAACAAAATGCTGATTTTCACATAGCAATAATGTCATCTTAGTTGTGCCTCATTTTATTTTAGATTTTTGGAAGAGAAACACAGATTTGCATCAATATATTAATAGACTTTTTCTCCTTGAAAATGTGTTGGCTAATTTTGGTACTATAACAATTTAAAATGTTTCAAAGAATGAGAGATTGGTTAACCCTTTGGCTCCAAAGAGTGACTAGCATCTAATTTCTCCTTACCATACCACCCCTGAATTAAGCATTTCGATCACAAGAATAAAAGAAGTGATAATCAACTAAAGAAGCTACTGATTGTTTAACAAATACTCCTTAGCAACACCTAAGGAAATGTAAAAAGAACAGTATGGAGAATATGCATTCTTATGTGAGGATGTAAAGGGGTAGGGGAGTGTGAGCTGGGTTGAGATCAATTTTTTTTTTTTTTTGAGACCTGAATTTTACATCCCTAGTGTGAGATTGGGTAGGCATGTATTACTGCATCTAGTAGTGTCTTCAGTTGACAGTCATTCTTACTGACAATTAATGTATTGTTAACAGATCCCAGCAAAAGTAACAAACAGTCTCCTAGAGGTGGACAACCTTACCAAGTAAGTTTCTTTCATTTAAATTTTTCCCTTATCTTATTATCTTACAAAGCCTAAATGCAAAGTATTTAGATTTAGCTTTTGCCATACTGGATAATTCTCATTGACAGAATCCAACCATGCCTTAGAGTGATAATCGTATTTCTTTACTTGCACTGTTTGTAATTACCAATTTGCCACTAATAAGTTAAAAGTATTGTTTTAAAGCTGTGAGGGTAAATCAGAAAACTGCAATCATTTCCTGAGAGATTGATGTCATTGAGAAACCAAACCTTGGGAAAAACAAATAAGTGTGATTCATATGGAGAACAAGATTTTTCCATTAAATAGCTGTCTTTTAATCATACCATGGATACCAAAGCTGATAGAAGTCTCCTCCCATTACCTATTGCGCCATCTAATGTTCCTCTATTTATAGTTGGCAAGACGTCCACCAAGTCGTGACTCTCTTTTGGAATCAGAAAGTCAATTCCTTGCTGTTGATGACCCAAAGCAACTGCTTCCAATAGAACAAATGGTATCGTCCAGGCCAAGGCAATCATCTGCCAGAGAAAGACGGAGATGGAAGCAACTTGAAGAAATGGCAAGAAACCCTAGAGTAAGAAAGTTTAAAGCTTGTCATGTTTTCTCAAGTGCCAATCACAGGTTTCCCTGTGACAGCTAGTTCGCCAGAGGGTGACTGTATCTAAAGGATGCTGATTTTCATGTCATAAATTGATAGAATGAATTGTCATTCAAACCTGGGTTAGATTTGGGTGTGAAAAATTTCATTTTCACCCTTAAAACAAATGTTTTCTGGATTTCACACATTGATCTAACAAACAGTTCAGCAAGGCAATAGTGGCCAAAGAAAAACAGCTATCCCTGGAACTTTGCAGATGCACTGTCACAGGAGTCCTTACTTTTTTCAGTTTATGGTCTAAAATTTGGCTTGTGTTTTTAAGGTGGGCAGGTGTTGCTGGAAAGTTGTGTTTTGGGTGTCTCAGTTAATAGTTATCATTTCCTAGTTATGTCTCAAATTTATGATGAACTTACTTGCCAAAACCCTGCAAAGTAACCAGACTATGAGAGGAGTTCTCTGGCTTCCAACTCTGCCATAGCTATCAAGGTGGTATGAAATGCCTTCAGCAATTTAGACCTAAAATTACTCCCCACTAAGATGAAACAACCTTCCCTCTTATTTTGATACCAGGTTGTCTCCCTCAGACCATTATTACTCCTTTTTGTTGTTTTAATGAAGAATTAACTTAGTTTCCCTTTTTAAACTGGCGAAGGCAAAAGGAAACTTTGAATTTAAACCATTCATAGAAGATTATGTGATGAAATGGCACTTAATGTTTATTTTTCAGCCTCATGACACTTACAAGCCTCCAACCCCTGGTGGTTTCTCTTTAAATTCTGTCACAAGTTTTAATGTGGATGAAGTAGCAAATAAGAATGAGGAGAGGCTAAAAAGACTTGAACTCATCCAGCAAGGACGTGGAAGCAAGAACAGCTTGCAAGGTGACCCTGATCAGGTCCTACAACGATTCATGGATGGTAGAAGGTAATCCACTGTCTGCCTTGTATATACTGTTTATTTGATTAAGAGAATGAATCTTTGGTTTTAACCAGAAGAAGCCTAGTGCAAAGTTTTGAAAAGGCTATCATATTTTAACCTTTACGATATCAATACAAAATCAATCAGGCAAGTGATGAGAATAGAGAAAATTATCAAGTAGGGGATTTTCAGTTGATCCAACACCAAATTCTGTGATGTAACATCATAAGATTTGTATAGCAGACAGTATGTAGAGTTACTTATGAGATTTTGGAATTGTAAGGGTTAAGAAATGCTTCATGAGTAGTTTAAATTAAGTAGTGTTCCTAATCTGTTGTTTGCCTGTTTTTTTTTCCTTATCATGCAGTCATCCTTCCGTCTTTGGCAGTAGACTGTCAGAAGCCTCACTTGAAGCAGAAACATCTTTTGAACCCATATGAAACCTGCATGGTCTACTACTCTAGCTGTGTGTCAAAGATCTAATCTCACCTTTATTCCTTTGCAAAGTCTATAAGTTTGTACTTGAGATAGCAGACTAGCTTCCCTGCTAATTTGAGAATTTTCCCATGCAAACCTTTGCACCCAGATACCGGAATGAAACATAATAGGTTGTACCTCGTTCATATCTTTACCTTAGCTGAAATTGCTGGCACATAAGATGAAATTGATCCCAAAAACTACAAGGCCTGGTCCATTCCAGGGTCTGATTTATTTTAGACCAAGATTTCTCTTCAGTAGGAGTGCAGTCATGTGTGTGGAAAAAAGAAATATTGTCATGGCAACTCCTTCCTGTACTGTCACCAAATTATTTGGGGGGGGGGGGTGGGGGGAACATTCATACGGTTGTAACATACTATGAATAAACTACAAAGAAGGTTTTTTTATATTGTTAACTACAGTTATATTACAGGGGAATATATTGAGTGAGTGTGTAATTTATAATGTTATCTAACTTCTCTTGGGTCTTGTATCATATTCTTACTGCTTGTACATATGTATCTTTTTATACATGGTTTCCTTTCACTGAAATGCATATCTGCAGTCTTTATGAGGACAGATTATGATGTATATAGAACTGCAATGTGCAGTGATATTGTGGAGTGAACCTGCACAAAGCAATTTGTATTTTAACATGTCACAGGCAACTACAAATATTTATAACTTATAGATGTTAGGGACCTACAGGCTGGTTGTTCAAAACATGATGAAGCTAATTATGGGTTAGTGCAAATTTATATCGGTGCTCATGATCAGTAGCTTTTATATTCAGGGTCAGTTCAATCACAAATCTTGGTCAAGGTGTAGGCTTAAGAAATCACTTAAAAGCATGTGTAACTGACTGAAAGGGTCAACATTTTTTGCTTGCCTCTTACATGCATATGAAATTTACTTGTGAAATGATTGGGAAATCACATAAAGACCGTGCCTTAATTTTAACATCGCAGAGGCCTGAGTACATGCAAATATGTGTCAAGCTTATTTAATGGTTAACTTTGCTGACAGTATTACATTGTACTTTCCCCTAAAAAATAGCCCATACATACACTATTAGGCAAGAAATATCAAGATCTCCCTTCATACTCATGTTTTTACCAAAAGATTGAAAATTTCGGTATGAAGTTTGAGCCTTAGGAACTAACTAAGGCAATTTTTAGGTAAAATAGTTATTTCAGTCACATCAAAAAGGTGTCAATCTTATGAAGTGCTTGTTTACACATAAAGCTTAACATTGGATCTTAATAGAAAGGTCTGTGGGTAACTGTGGTTGAAAATAAAATGAATGAAATGATAAATCATAGCTCATATAGTACTTTCAATCAGTAATTTTAAGTTTTCCCTGAAGTTTGCCTTGTTCTGTCTTGTTTGAAACTTCATGTCTTTTTCCAGTTGGCTTTCACATTACTAAGAAACCATGGAACCCAAAACATTGTAAGGTAATGATTCAAAGAATTTTTTTCTGATGTGCATTAAAGGGGGTAAGTTTGTGGTGCTGGGTTGGTGAGAGAGTATAACAAGGTAATTTGGTATGATCAATGAAGTTGATGCTGTAAATTGGGCACTGTCAAGAATTTCAAAGCTGATGTTTTGAGCATCAGCCCGTCCTCAACCCAGTTGATAATACCCAATTACCTTGATTTTTGCATCATTTGGTTTGATTTCTCTATGACTTTCTAGGTCTGGGAAATGAAATTATAGAATTCCATGACTTTCCTCCCCCTCTAACTTCTGTGAAACCTCTGGTAACTCATTGTCCTCCTGTCACTCACTCCTTTTTCCATTCCCAACCCACAGGTTGAAATTTTCTTAAAATTTTGCTAAAACTAGATTACAAGAACAAAGAAGATTGTTGGATTACAAATTTATTACATAGGGTATAGGGGAGAGCACTACAAATGAGATTCAGCATTTTAGAATTTAACAATTAATTTAATGCAATAATTGCTTTAGCTTGATTCTCAGGCAATCAGAGAATTCTCAGTCAACTTCCTCCTCTTGAGGAAAGGGAATTTAGTAGGCATTTACAAAATGTCAGAAAACTATGTGACATGTAGCATGATTGTAGACAAGGCATCTGTGACACTTTGTAATATACATTCCTTCTAAGAATTACTGTACACTATTCACAGTAAATTAACAGGACCTTGGACATTTGTGTATTCAATACCTATTAAGTTTAATTTAAGATCTTTTTCCAACAGTAAAACCATAAAATTTAGATGCTCACTGAATTTTTTTCAAACACTTAAAGAACATAATTTATACAGTCCAGGTATTACTAGTAGGCTACATCATAATGAAGCCTGATATGTTCCATTTAAAAAACAGGCTCTAAGCAGCACTCCTGTTGGTAACTGAGAACTTTTGTGAAAATATAAAAATCAAATTAAAAGTGAAAACAACTCAGTCAGGATACACCTATAAACAGAACCTTTGCATTTTTGGGATTATTAGGGACTACAATCAAAGTAAAACTATTTTAAAGAATACTTGTTAATGGAATGTCTAACTGTTGGTTAAAAGTTATTATAAGAAAATTTGTCTATCAGCAAACTTTAACCAATGGACTTGGTTTTGTGGTTCTTGTTAATCCAGTACTTGATCGCCGTTTCTTATTGGTTGCTTTCAACATGTGGGGTCCAAACTAGAAAAATCAGAATAAATTATAGATGTAATTTAAGTACCAGTAGATATTGCTTGTTGAGCAATCTTGAAATAGCCAAGTCTGGTTTTGACCAGCAATGCAAGCACAAGCACAAGCACTAACATAAGCACAACAGCTCATCTTCCACTGTGAAAATGGCTTTGACTTAAACGCAAGCACAAGGCTAAATGCTTGTGCTTGTTGATGTTCATTTTCACTCAGTAGAGTTACCTTGGGCTTGATGTTCAAATTTTTACTCAGCATATTTACCTTATCCATGTGTTTGTGCTGGGGTCACTAGTGAAAACCAGGCTTTAACAGTACTGTCCTAATGAAAGCTTTGCCTGGGTCAAATGTGTAGTAACAGAGATGGAGGGTATTCAAGTGTTCTAGAGAAACAGTGTGAACCAAATAGAGTGAAGGCCAAGGAAGTATGTGACCTTCCTCCTCTTTGTTGAGAAATTGATAATGTTATAACAACAAACAAGTGCACCCCTGAAAGGTCACAAAACCTGAAAAGTCCTGCCTACATGTACATTTGACATCAAAAAGCAAATTACTTACAGGAACAGATTTGTTAGGGCTTGATGGTGGGGTACCAAATGGCGATCCAGGGCTGTTATTTTCTTTGTTGGTGTCTGCAATACAAAGAGAGTAAGATGCTTGTTCTGAGATAACATTTGACTACAGTGAAGTTGAACTTGCCTTATTATTCTTGTGCAAGTGGCATACTTCAAAACTGAAAGTGATTTGTTGGTTTGTGCATTCACAGAGGATAAGATCTGTAACTGGGATACAACCTCCTCTTCCCTATCACAGCACAAATGGCAGGTGTATAATGTGGGAGGAAAGATTAGGTGTGAGTAAAAAGGATGATTGCCAGGATGTTAACCATCATGATTTGTGTTTGCATTAATTGTAGTTCCCCTTGTCCCATGTATACTGGCCATGTGAGTTGGCACTGTCTTGTGGAAAACTAATAAATTAAGCAACTTTGGGATTTCCCTTACTGCATCAGCTTCATGGTTATCAGTAAGGCAGACCTAAATAAGCAGCTTCCTGTCTTCACTTGCACCTCTTGCTTGCTTTTACAGACCAAGTAATAATGGCCTACCTCTTTAGTGGTTAGAGTAAAGTTTCATACCCCTTAGGAATCAACAATGTGTGGTTCACAGGGTGTTGGCGATTAGTGTGCAAGTTACTAATAAGAAAAGTCCATCAGAACTGTTTCTTTACCTGGAGAGTTTGCTTCAAGTCTTCTTCTGTGTGCAAACTTTTTCTTGAGAGCTTGTGCAATGATTGAGGCAGGATCATTTCCTTCTGTAGGAGCAGGAGGCTTCCTTAGGGGAGTACCACCAGGGGACCTACAAAAAGGAACACGTCAGTTCATTCTCTCTAAAATGGACACTGTTCACATGCTTCAGTTATTATCTTTAAAGAACGAAAATGCAGTGCTATCCAATTATTTGTTAATCATTCACCTTTCGACTGTTCTGAGTTTGACTTTTCCTAATCCCTTGAGTACATCTGCCATGTTTGGCAAAGTGCATGCATTTGACTGTTCAGCTGGTCCCATTCCTGGAGCAAGGGATAATCTTTTAGCCCTGTTCTGTTTGATGAAAATCATAGGAAGAAAAACTCAGACATCAAGTTGTCTTTTTTAGTGATGGTAATCAAAAAACCAAATGAGTTTGTGAACTATGATAAGATTGATCCTGATGTAATACCTCTCTTATGATCTGTGAAACCGGTTTCAGGGGGGTCGTCATGGGTGTTGGTGGGGGTGGAGGTGGTGGTGGAGGGGGAGGGGGTGCAGTTGCCCCCATTGGTGTGGATGGAGCCCCTTGATTTTGTGGAGCAGAAACCAGCATCATCGCTATCTGAGCTCTCAACCTCTGAAGTTCATCCTCCAAAGCAGAAATTTTTTGCATGGCCTCCTTATTTGGAGCGTTGTCTTTTTCATCATTTTCTGGTTCGTCCTGGACTACTTCTAGCTCCGGTTCCCTGAATGGGCTTTCAAGTTCTCTGAGAATTACTTCCTCCCCCTCATCATCATCATCATCATCATCATCATCAGGAAGGTCAGCTTCAGATGATGAACTGTCACTGTCCGTTATCCAGGCAACATCAGCTAAGGATGCCATCATCATTAGAGATAATGAATTTCCTTCAATCTCCGAACAAAGTTCTTGCTTATTTCTGTTTAGACTTAGCTGAAAGATGAAATAAAAATATAGCCTTGTAAACGATGCTGATCAACTGCTTAACATACTTTCTCAACGATCAAACGGGCGACGCCTGAAGAACTGGTTTCAGATCAATTGGTTTTAGGTTGCACGAAGTGATCGAACTTGCTGCGATATATTTTATAGCTGAACTCACCTCGAAATACGGTCTTCTACACGGTTTCAAAGGCAGTCGACTTCCAATCTCACGAACAATGCTACGTTTCGTAAACAATTTGAGATTATAATGTGACAACTCTCGGACGATTCGTCGAACGATACTTCTTCTTCGGTTCCTTAATCTTCGATCTTGATTGAATAGCTCCTGAAATGGAAAAAAATATTACTCGATCGATGATAACTTTTATCTGACTACGTCAAAGTGGTCACGCATTCTGAACAACTATTCGTAAAAAAAACTTACTTCGATTTCGTGTCTGTCCCAGCCAAAGTACTCAAGCACTGTCGTTACTACTTCTAAAGCAAATTCCATTTCCTTTAGTATTCTTAAGGACTTAAAATCAAAGTAAAGTTAGAATATGATGGAGAAGAACCAAAGAGCTGAGAAAAGTTAATACCACATGATTGCTCAGTGAGATTTAAATTTTGTTGTGCATCTGAATCTGACCAATCAAAACGCTGTGTCTTCACCGATGAGCCAATCAAATTGAAGAGCGGCGTGTTCGAATAAAAGCCAGTCGGGATATATTCTGCTCTTGTGCCTCAAGAACTGAACGCCTTGCACGATAAACGTCAATACCTTGAGTTGAGAAAATTTCTATTTGAAGGTGATAATGACTGCCCTCGGTGTAGTTGAACATCTCAGGAACTTAGCGGCTGATCCACAAAACAGAGCTACCATAGTTAAAGTACGAAATATTTAAATGTACTTTTAATATCTTTAGAAAGCAGTTATGTCGGCCACATTTATTTTATGATGTTGATTCATTTAATTTTCTGATTCTTGTACTTAGGATCAGGGGTGCCTAGCAGGACTGGTTTTATTTCTAGACAATGAAGATGTCAATGTAGTTAACACAGCCCTTGAGGTATATATGTAATCAAATCTCATCACAAGCTAGTATATTCTTCCAGTTGAAAACGAATATTTGTGGCAATTTTAACTGACAACAAGATTTTATTGGTTGGTTATTTCTTCCAGGCGTTGAAGTTTTTGTCAGAATTTCAACCCAACCGTTCGAAAATGAAGGAAGAGATAGGCATGGTTATCAGCTTAAAAACCATCATGCACAAGGAAGGCTACCACTCCAAAGCAAGACAGCTTGCAAAGGAGGTTTATCAAAATATCATTTCAACTGTGAAGACACCTTCGAGTAGAAGAGCCAGGCATGTATATATTTTTTAGTGTTCTCCCTTTAATTTTTCTCGGTTTTGCCTGTTATTTATTTTTTTTGATTAGACTAACTGACTTTTCTTTAATAACTGTTGGGCTTTTTCCCCTTTTTTTTCTTGCAGTGAGACATCACAATCGTTTTTCCTTGGAAATTTGAACAAGAGAGCTAAAGTGGTTACACTTCACATCAAAGGCTTGGCAAATCAGGTTTGAATTAAATTGTTTCATTCTACATTAAAAGGCAGTGGAGTTTTCAAATTAGCTTGAAACAAATTGACATAGCACCAGTACCAGTCCAAAATTTTGAATTTTTCTGTTTAGGTCACCAGAAAGCTTTGTGAGGAGGAATTACTGAAAGTTAAAGGAGTAATAAGCTTTACATTTGTTATGAATAAATCAAGATGTATTGTCAGATGTAAAGTGGAGCTAACACCAGAAACACTGTGTGATGCTATCAATAACACTAAAGTTCTGTCAGCTCAACAAGTGATCAAGAATGAAAGAGGAGAAGAGGTAAGTTAAGTGGGAAAGTAAGAACCACCTACAAGTGGTGCTCTCCCTTATTTAAAGCTTGGCAGGTGAATAGATGTGATGACAATCTAAGTCAGGGGTATCAGTAAATGCTGGTCACTGACAGTCTACCAACACCTAGGACACCTCTTACTGCTGTCTGTTTCAGGCTCTTTTAATTGGGTTTCGAGATACAACTGCCCTTGTCACTATTGGAAGTGGCTGCTGGAAAAAGTCATTGAAACCATTCTGAATGGTTGTCTTCTTCAGAGTTAAAAAAAGCATTGTGTTTAATTTTCTCCTAGAAAAATCACAAAAAAAAAAGTTATTCAAGTCACTTATAGACAAAAGTTAGTTGCCTATGGTGCTAGATCAGATCTTTCGAGGCAAAATCTTTCTAACATACTTCAGGTGATTCAGTTTGAACAACAATTTTTTGTTCCTCAAGGTGATGTTGTCATTTGGCAAAGCTCCTGCTAAGAGTTGTGGAAGGGGAAACAGCAGTACATTACCAGACTATCTGCCTGAAGATGATGAAGATACAGTCATCTCTGATAAGGTAAGTAAAGAATACCCAACACAACAGACTCTAGTTACTTGTAGTTGATTGTTCAAGAACAGAGTAAGTAAATTAATTACAGTTCAGCTATCCCATGGCTGCAGCATTGTTGACTATTATGGAGTTGAAGCCACACCCTCATCAGCACTCTTAATTTCCAGTGTAACATTAACAGGCTATTGTTTGTATACCCAAGCCTTTGGTATAAGTGACAGTGGTTTTGATACCTGTGTTACTATTTATAAAATGGAAAAAATAACCCCCCCCTTCTACTCACCTCTTTTAAATGACAAAGAACTCAATTACACAAAAGAATGGCATTTTTTAGCAAAAGGGTCTAATTTCTACAGCATAGTTAACAATTCTTTTTTCCAGGCAATCACAAGAGTTGGAGATGACAAAGAAAATGGGTGGTTTTCCAGTGTTACAAGCTTTTTTAGCAAGACATTATATTGGTAAAAAAAGCCAGAAAAGAAAATGAGCAGATTGAAATGTTTTGTAAATATCACTGTGGGTGAAAACTAAATTTAAGTTCAACATTTTGTAAACTATTTAGAAATTTTTATTGAAATCCCTCAATCTTTATTGCTCTTTTCCACCAATTAGTTTTTGTGATTTTGGAGCTTGTGTTGCAGTTTAATAGGCTTAAAATACTCCCATATTTAGTTGAGCTGTTACTTGTAAATTATAACTTTTGGATAGTATGAACTCTTACATAAACTTTGGTTGAACAGATTAAACTCAAGAGAGCAATCTTTTTTAAATGTGTTGTGTGAAAAGGGTTGCTGTACTTTCTGACTTTGTATCAGTTAGCCTTTTCTTCCATGTTTCTTCATGCTGAGAGATATTGAAATTTCAACATTCCAGTAAAAAAACACAATTATACTAGAAAGGTGTATCAGTTAAAACCTGATTTATTTTAAAGCACTTCACTTGATTTTAAATTATCTAATGCTGAGTTGTAAACTGAACTATTGTCAACCAGTGCAAAACACAGTCTGTAATAGTCTTTGACTTGCATTTAATTGAAAATAGATTTGATCTCAACTGTCCCACATCTCTCACTGGCTGAACTTTCTTCTAAGTAGCCAAAGTGCAGGCTCTCATACTAAAGCTGGCTTGTCTCTAGCAGATTTCCTGTCAAACAACAACATCAAAGAGATCCTCCTCAAATAGGTTATGTGACTGATAGATCTGACCACCATATTCCTATGTCACAGAGAAGAAAAATTTACAGACCCCAGTTACATTTAGATTTAAATTTCAATAATTCCCCACCCATTCTGAAAAATACCCAACACTTCCTTAATTAAACTACTGAAGATTTTAAGACAATGGGTGAAAAAAAGTATAGAGTTTGAATTGTGAAAATATCCAATGTTTTTCTATCTTATTTAGTACCTCTTCTTTAATCCTTACATTTAACCCAGTTCAATTCTAACATCTGTATGCATATTCTCTGTACCTTTCCTCTATACATTTCCTGAGGTGCTGGCAAGGAGAATTTGTTTGACAATCAAGAGCTTCTGTGATGGTGATCATTTTCTCTATTCTTGTGACTCAAATGGGTGATTCAGGGGTGGTATTGTAAGGAGAAAGTGGATGCTAGTCACTCAGTGACTTAAGTGACTATTACATCATGAGTGCATTGATAGCCAGTGGATTTCCTCCAACTTGTCAACAAACTATGCATGCAAATATTAGCATAATTAAAAATATTTCGAAATCCTATTTACATTTTGGATATATGTGAATTGACTGTCAGACTTATCTTAAATACTTGAATTCAAAGTTGCAAACAAGATATTGCTCCTTGTGTTAAGTTGAGAAATATTTTGTTGAAGGAAACGACAAATGAACTGTCCAAACACTGGTGAGAAAATAGCATGTTAAACGAATCAGTTATTCTGTTTTAAGACAGGAAGAACAGCGATTGTTCCTCTTTGTGCTTTTTATTGACCTATGGTACAAACTCTAGTTCTAATTCTCCTATCTTTAACCCTTTCACTCCCACAAGTGACCAAGACAGAATTTCTCCTTACAATATCAATACAATATCAAGCAGGTAGGTGATGAGAATAGAGAAGAATATCAATTATGGTATGATTAGTTGATCCAATACCAAATTCTCTGAACTAACATCATAAGAATTGTATGGCAGATAGTAAGGAGAATTACTAATTAGATCTTGGGAGTGAAAAGGTTAACAAGAGAACTTCAATTGCATGAGTTAAGAAGTAACAGTTGAGTAATAGTGCAAGAGATTTATATAGAATGGCACATTTAAATCAAATGTCCAAAGGCTGACAAAATTGCCAGCACAGTGATTCAAATGTGGTTGTGAAATTTTAAAATCAAGGCTGTATATATATTTTTAGGGCTGTCACTGAGGGCTATAACCCCTAACACCTCTCCTGGCTGAGCTCACACAATGTGACAAGTGAAGATGTTGACTGTGGGGTCACATTACAGCCCCTTCAAATCCTAATGACAGCCCTGGTGTGAAACAATGTACTGCCAGAGTGCAGTACAAATTTCACTGATTTTTCCTGAACTGTGATGTTTTCTCTGGGTTCCCCTTGAAATGAACCACAATGAGTTATTCTAAGACCAAAAATAATAAATACTATAGAAATTTCTTATTTCTTACCCTTCTGATGTCTACAATCCTATCCAAGTACAAAGAATCAGCTCCTTTCACAAGGCACAACTTCAAAACAATTTCACTGACAAGTCATTCATTCCTGACTGGAGCATACCAAGTTATTTTTATATCAAAAATCCCCCCCCCCCCAAAAAAAAAAAAAAAAAAAATGTTATGATGAAGTTGCTGATACCTGGTACTGAAGAAAGGATTGAGGCTCTAAGAAGACTCTGGTCTTAATAAAATAATAATCATTCATTAATTAATAATGTTTTAGTTCAGTCATCTTTATTTCCCCCTCTCCCTCCAGCTGTTATCTTTGATTTACCAGCTGAACTACTCTGCCATTCTTCATTGCTCCAGGCACTGGACTCGCCCCATCCATCATTGTCCCAACTAATCAAATCTTCCCAACCGTCATTTTTTGCTACTGCAGCTTCAGTCTTTGGTGGTGATTTTGTTTTTCGCCTCGATGATGACAATGACTCCCTTGTATTCTGTGATGTGCCATTCTTGGATAAGGTTGGCTGTTTTGTGATTTCAGAATCACTTCCCCATGCCCAAGAATCCCCATTATCTTCATCATTGCCTTTCAGTGATGCCTTGCCACTACTAGCCTCATTATCATCAGCTTCTTCATCATTTACATCTTCATAGCCATCCCAATCCCAATTATCATCTTTAAGAGTAGCAGTACTATTCATTGCTGACACACCATTAACTGAACCATATCCTCCTCCAGAGGTTCCTCCGCTTGTCAGAGACTTTGTTCCATAACCACCAGCGCCTTGATTGACAAGTGTTTGGATGTTTGCCCAACCTTTTACACTGGCAGTCTGAAGATTTGTCCATCCCTTTGAGCTGGCATCACGCATCTATAAATAAAAGTTGCCTCAATGTAACAAGTTTCTTTCAGTTGATAATCAACGATTTTTCCTGTCAAACTCAGAAAACCATGAAGCAAAAACAGAAAAAAAAACCCCAAATAACAGCCTTATTTTCCAAAACACAAACACACTTCAGAAATATTTCTGGTGATCACAGTTTTTGGATTTTCAAGGTAAACTGCAACAGGTAACATTTGTAAGGGAGGAAAAGGTCAATTTTTGACTGCAAAAAGACAGCTCAAGTCAAAATATCTTTTAACCACTTGCCAATATGTGAACACAGTATTGGACATATTTTAGTATTCTATTATTATGCCATTAATGATTTTAGGACATTGGAATATGCAAAATATGCCAAGGAATTACACTGTAAAGCAGGGCAAAAACACAGATGACAGAGTTAAAAAGATAACATACCTTTGTGGACAAACTGGACATAGAGGTTGTTACGTCATCAAGAAGCTTGCCTTCCTGGACCTTAAATGTAAAATGTTTCATTCAAAATCACATGAATAGAACTTGTCAATAAACTCTTTATTTTATTCAGGTACTTCCTTGCTTGCTTCTGTCAGATCAATTTTTTTAAGATCAGACCTCAAATGAGCATAACTTATCATTTTCAGCTATGTGATGGCTTTCCATCAAAATTACAGGAATCAAAATTTTCAAGATCAGAAACAGAACTGAAAATAAATTTTAAGTAAGTAAGAGGAATGAACTCTTTACACTCTAACATTAGCATGCATGATGTCTCTATTGTTGTTTATACATTTACTATGGCATTCACAGGAGGATTTTGTTAAAAATTGAGAGCTTTTCAATTGGGGTCAGTTCAGTAATCCTCATGAGCTTATGTTTGATTCTACAGTGATACCTTGGTGAGGAATTAGATGCTAGCCACCCTCTGAGGTTAAAGGGTTACAGAAAAAATCAATTTTTTTAGGGTTACTTTCTGATCTTTTGACATCGACAATATGAGGTAGATCCATTACACAAATAAGTGAGAGAGGAAAAAGTTCTAAAACAAGTTATAGATTCAAACAAAAGAAACTTTTCTTGACTGAATGAAACAAAGACAAACTTGAACTTCTTCAGGTTAATGTCTGAACAAGTCTTGTAGGAGGTCCACTTACCCTTGTCAAGTGGAAGTTCAAACCTCTCTAGTAATTTATTGACAATTTTAAGTGTAGTGAATACTTTAGTGTATGATCCCCAGGTTGTGATTTTAAGTCAACTTCCAATATGGAGAGATATGTATTCTCTAAATGAGAATCAGTGAAACAAAAAGACAAAACAAAACAAAACTTACCCTTGTTGATACTTTCTTCATCCCTTCATTCATAGTACTTCCCAGTTCTACAGCCTGAGATAAACAAAATATCATTATACCTCTTGAATATCACTGTCATCACTCTTAGAGTGATAACATCTTTCTAGTATGTGTGATAAGACATTCAAACTTCAAAGTACAGTGTCATAGTTGTTCCTAAAGAGTTCATTACAAAACATTGCTTGAAATTAGCAATCATCCCTTTTTCCAGAAAGTTTATTAAGCAAATAAATTTTGTTTGGTTTGAAGCTGATTGTTTGAGGAAAAAAAATGGACAACTGAACACCAGGCACATAAAATTATTGCATAAACTAAGAAGTTAAGATATTGGCTGCCATATTATTATATCACAACTACACTTAATTTGTAACCAAAATACCAGTACATCAATGTCCTAAAATTCCTTTCTTTCAAATTCTTTTCTTTGAGGATATTGAAAATGTGCCATTTTGCCCAAGGAGGGAGGCTGCCTTCTGAATTAAAAGTTAAATGGGGTGAGTCAGGTGTGTGATCCAAGAAAGAAAAGAGGCACCACAAACATTAAGGAATACCATGGATGTTTTGCACCCAATGCACTTGGTATGTGGAGTTTTCCGACAAGGAACCAAATTGGCTTCATGAGTGCAACCAAATTCATGGTATGGTTGCCCACTTTTTAAACTTTGAAAAAATGATTCTTCTTTTCCATTTCAACTTAAGTGTAATAGGAATATATTGTATAAGACTCAATAAACCATCAAAAGCTGCTCATCTTGGACTGACAGTGATAGGTGACTTCAGTTCCTCTCCAGTACATACCTTGGATGCTGTTGGTTTGAGAACTGACTCATTGACTGTTGAACCCAGCTTAACAGCCTGCAAAAACATCACAAGGAGTAACAAAAATGTATGAGGATGATAATGGCAAAATAAGTTACTGTTAAACTTTGGGCCAATACCAAAAATATGCTTTTTCCTATCACCTCTATTGAGAAAGAGGGTTAGTTGGGCCTACAAAGAGGACAAGGAATTGGCTGACAGAAACTGAGTTCAACAAGAGCCTTGAAATGAGGGAAGAAAACCTGGTTACATGTGAGCATTCCCTTGCTAACTACTCATTGCTTTCCTAACCCAAATGTTTCTGAGATCATACATCAACTGGAAAAGTGGGAATGCATGACTCACCTACTATTCTAAACATGTCTTGATCAGATGTTTGCTTTTACAGACAATAATGAATGTGAACTCAAATATCATAAATATCAAAATGTGTCCCACTGGACTGTGTATTTTGATCTGTTTTCCCTATTTCTATTTTTCCACTTGGGTCAGGAGAACTAGAAGAAATAAAACATCTTACTTGTTGTGAAGCAACAGCAGCCAATTGAGCAGCTCCAGTGGTAAATGAACTCCAACCCTAAACAACACATAACCATGTATTTCAGCTCTAGTTTTTTTTCAAGATCAAAATATTAACTCTCCAAACAGTCTCCTATACATTTCACACAATTTTGGCTTCAAGAATGAGGTCTTAAATCAAACAATATGCCCAGTCAACATTTTTCTCAGTTCTAATCACCTTTTACTTAGTATCAACATTGTAAGGATAAAATTATTTTTGGTCACTCCTACATGTAGAAATGAAGGGTTAAAAATATGTTGAAACAATCTATCACTCGGTGAATCCTGTTTGCAACGATAGGAAAGACCACCACCAAAGTATCAAAAGAGAAAGTCATGTTAAGTAAGTAGTTCTAAAATAGGACTTTGCTTGGAGACACTGACAAATGTTTTAAAAACATGGGAGGAAGTTGTCGTCAAACACAAGTGAAGAGTTGTTTTTGAGTCAAATGTTGCAATTTCAGTTCTTCAAAATGGATTGGTCAGTTTTGCTGTGATCTTATAGAGGCAAGCAGGATTCATCAGTTGTGACTGAGATTTGTTACAGTGTATCATTAATTGCAGGCAGGATAATTCTTCATTTTTAATACTACCACTATTAGAACTAAATGAATAATACAGTAAAAGGAAAAAACTTCAACTTACAGATGACAGAGAAGAAAACGTTGAGTCCCAACCTAAAGAAGTGTTGGTTTAAATTAGAAAAAAAAGAGTCATGCGAGATAAATAATTATTAACTACATAAGACTGACAAAAAAAATGATGTAAATTACAAATGAACACAATTGAAATTGTAATTTTACAATCAACTCCTTACACCCTAACATCAGTATGCATATTCTCTATACTTTTCTCCATACTTTTTCTAAGGTGCTGACAAGGAGAATTGTTTAACAATCAAGAGCTTTCTTCTATTCTTGTGACCTTAACATGTGATTCAGAGGTGATATTGTAGGGAAAAATAAGATGTTGTTGCTCCTTGGGGCCAAAGGGTTGGAGAAAGGACAAAACCAACCAAGCACTAGTTTTGAACTGAGGGTTGACTTCACTGGCAGAATGAGAAATGTGGTGAGGAAATAGGTTCCCTAAATGAATAAAAGTTCTGGATAATCTGCCACCTTTTACTCTGGACAATAATATTACCTTACCATTAAAAATACATTAGTAGGAAGCTCATTGTCAAGTAATGGACAATTCTGGGGAAGAAGTTACTGAGCAGGTCATAAAAAAGATGTCAACCTACCTGAGCTATTTGCGGTTACAACTGGTGCTGATCCAAAACCAGTGTATCGTCCACCTTGACTCGGAGGTAGATTACTAAAAATAAAAATTCAAACCAAATGAAATCATCTGTTAGTCTTTAATATAAGTTATCTAGTAAGCAACTAGCAGGAGTGCTTGGGCTGGAGATCTGTGGTGTGACACATCCCATCAAGAGAAATGGAAGAACGATGATGACTATTTTGATGATGATAAAAATTATGATAATGATGGTATTAAAGGTTGCCGGGAAACAATGCGTTTTCAAACACGTTAATTTTCAAATATGTGTTTTGTTGTGTTCCAGTTATCTTTTAAGTTACCGAGAGAGGAGGAAGTTACATAAAGGAAAGCCTCTATGGAATGCGTAAGATATACAAATTTGACTATAAAAGAGAAACCACTAATTTATACCAGTAGTGACTTACTCAGGCCTTGAAGCATTTTCCATCTGTCTCCGGCTGAAGAAATCCTCTTTTTGAGCATTTAATTCACTCCTGGAAATAAAGCATTAAGTTAAAATCACAACCCCAAATGGCTCATGGAAAGTTTGTACCCTACCAGTTTCCATTTTCAAACCCTTTACACCCTTGCAGTGACCAGCATAAAATTTCTCTTTACAGAAGTATTGCTGAGTCAGTCATTAAGGTAATGAGAATAAAGGAAATGATCGCCAACCTTGGAAGCTTTGATCTTTAAATGAATTCTCCTTGTCAATGCCAAAGGAAAAGTATAGAGAAGAGTGTGGAGAATATAGATACTGAAGTTAGGATGTAAAGGGTTAAATAAAATCGGTGAAGCTAGATTTGTCTCCTGTGAACCTGGCGTGTGGCCTGGCTTGCCAACAAGTTCTTAATAGCCTGGTTGGTAGTGTATCCAACTGCAAATTCAGAGGGTCTGAGGTTTAATATTTCCTTTGCCTTACCCTTGAGAAAAATTAACAGCTTTTTCAATAGTGGTCTCTAACTTTGTGTGCTCACTTTTACAGACATTTAAGACTTAATCTGTTAATCAACTTATAAAATTATCTTCCTGCAGCTAGAGTGACTGAAATGTCGAGTTTCTTTGCCACTCATGGTAACTATTATATTTCATGACTTAGTCAAACAAAAATTGGCCTCTCATACTTCGATATTCCCAGCATGGATTCAGGTGAAGAGGAGCCATAACTCATTGAATTTGAACCATTGGCTGCCCGACTGACTGAAGAACTGCTTGAATTTCTGCTCAGAGGTGGTTCATAGTTTTTAGCTGATGAGGTTTCTTCTGACCATGACCTTCCATCAGCTAAGGCTGCAATCTGTTTGAATCAAAAGGAAAATTGTAATATAATATAATATAATATCTCATTCAAAAATAATTATCCTCTCATCTCTCTCATCCCTCTCCCTTTCTTAGTGAGCATAAATGAGGAAGACCCTGAAGAACAAGCATGAGAGCATCCCTTCTTCAAGGATTTTCTGCTAAGAAGACTTTAAAAAACAATAAATGACAAATAAAAAAATGTAAGCAATAAAAGTGCATGAATGTTTCTAAATGTGGGGGGTAATCCACTGAATCTCTCCTTCCCTTCTTCTCAAAGCAAAAATTTTCAGTTATCCAGCATTACAGTTTTATCTATCAGTTTTTTTGGGTAGGAGATGAGGAGATGGATTTATTGGGAACCTCCATTCTCACCTCCTCTATTTCCATCCTTCCTTAATGTTTCCTCAACTTTTTGTCCATCCTGTGCACAGTTTTATGGTAAATAATTATTGAACAAGCCTTTGAAGTGGAAGAGAGGTAGAGAGAGAGGAAGAGAGGCCCAGATCTAGGAATAAACCATACCTTGTCTCTGTAAAGTGCTGCTGCCCTGCTGTTGTACTTTTCTTGAATGGACATATCTGCTCGGATATCTGGTTGAGACTTGAAGAAAGCTTTTGCTTTACTGTTTCCACCAACCTGACAATTAACAAACAATTTTTATTAATATTTCTCATTAAGTACAAATTCTTTCAAAGATCACGTCATTTTTGTTCTTATCATAACTAGTAAAATATAATCATCATTATTATAATTATCATTATTTTTTGGTTATCATTATTTTTTCATTTATTCCTTAACCCTATACACCCTGACACCAGTATCCACATTCTCCATGTACTTATCTGTACATTTTCTTTAGTACTGACAAGGAGAATTTGTTTCCCAATCAAAGCTTATCAATTTGCTATCATCTCCTTTATTCTCATGATCTTATCAAATGATTTAGCATTATTACTAATGGGAGAAATGCTGAGCACTCTTGGGGCTAGGTTTACGATTAATTAAGACAGTTTATTCCCTGGATGTTTCTGTATACTTTAAAATCAAAATGTTTTATTCCCTAGATGCTGGTACCTTCATTTTCTCCAGCTCAATGTCTTTCCATTTGTCCATGGTTACTGATCTTACAAAACTAAAACAAGAATTGTATAACAATCAGTAACTGGTTTGTTTATCAAACTAAAAGACTGGAGAGATGACTAAGAACAGCTTAAAGTAGCAATACATGAAATGAAGAACAGAGTCATACAAAGATTGGGTAATTTTTGGACTCTCTTAAGTGTACTATTTGGGAAAGGTATACCAGATTAATAATGGCATCATTTATATACTGTACAAAATAACATAAGGAGTTATGGCTGTGAACATATAAAAATCATATATGTAAACTACTGATTAATAAATGAATACGTGAATGATCCCCGCAGTAATGAATGCTACTTAAGAAGTAGTAAAAATAAAGTCTAAAACAAATCCAGGCCTGTATGGGAGTTGAACCTATTGCTAAGACTTATTAGCTAAGTTGGTAGAGCACTGCATGGGTATTGCAGAGATAATAGGTTTACTCCTATACAGGCCTAACTTTTTCCCAGGCTTTATTTTAACTACTGCTTATTTTTTAATCCTTTCACTCCCATGAGTGACCAAGGGATAATTTCACCCTACAATATCAATAAAATATCAATCAGATAAGTGATAAAAATAAAGAAAAATATCAATTTTGAGATTATCAGTTGATCCAATACTAAATTCTCTGTATAACATTACAAGAATTGTATAGTTGACGGTAAGGAGAATTACAAATTTGATCTGGGAGTTAAAAGGTTACCTAAGTAGTGTTCATTACTGTGAAGATCATTCACATTTCCATGACATACATGTAAGATTTGTAGATAAGTATTTCCTGTTTTTCTTATTTTTTATTTTTTGTTCATTTTTTCAGTGTCTCTGTCTCAACCACTGTTTTTGTTGTTGTTGTCATTACCAACATGAATACATTGACAGACATACCATGTCAATAGCTATTGTAAATAGGCATAAACATTCTTGAATGAAATCTTAACAAGTTGTTGGTTGTAAAGAATATCAGCAAGCAATTAAGATACGCGGAGTTTTCAATTTAAAGAGGTGTTTTTCTTCCACAGGCTTTCAGTAGTTTGTTTCACTTCATAACACGTTAGAGTAAGATACAAAATCACTGGAATATTTTCATTTGATCGCCTGTGTCGTGTTTGTTATGTTGGGACTAATTTCTCAGCTGTACGAGATATTCTTTCGATTGTGATGACCTATTCCATCGATGAAAAAACCCTGTATGAAATCATTGGCACAAAAACTCAATCCATACGTGATCATGTTACCACAGTGATAAACTATCAAAATTCTATGACGCCATTGAATTCTTGGTCAATAGAGCGCTCATACTTCCACACGGTATCTCATACAATTTACATTCTAACCGGCTTTCCGCAAAAAAAAAGATTCATCGCGCATTTTCAACGACAAACTCCGCCGTAAAAGTTAAACAAGTTCATTATTACTGTAAATAATACATCACCTTACCTTAAATGAACTCCTAAACCTCGGTGTTTCCCTGAACATTCAAGGCAAATCCATATCCCATAGGTCACGCTTACCCATTGAGGATTGTGTGCCCCGCATTCGAAACAACTCTACGCGATCAAAAAAAAGAGAAAATCGTCACGATTGATCTATATATACAATACAGGATTCCAAATATGATAACAACTGATAATTACACTTACACTGTTACCATCTTTCGGCTTTATTTCCTTTAAAACTCGCCGTGTTCGAGGACTCGCCATGTCTATAAACTTCCTCTGATCTACTCTGCCGCCTCCGCTTTCGATTTACGTGTACCACGAGCACAGGTGGCTCACGGGAATGTAATCATCACTTCCGGTTGGAGTTAATTTCTTCCGGTCTGGTCTCTTCATTGAACAGCGAAAGTTCATCTGCCTGAGCAATTAACTTTTCCTCTGTTTACAAGGTAAGAGGGAATGGCGGAGAAAACATCTGAGTTCAAAATCGTAATTGTCGGAGGATCTGGAGTTGGAAAGAGCTCTGTTATTAATAGTTTTTGCGGCAATATCGTGGAAGAGGACTTAGAAGGTAAGATTATACCAAAAAAAAAAAAAAAAGACTTCTTTTTTAACATCGCAGTGTTAATTGTCGGTAAGATCAGTCGATGACAAACCAGTTTAGGTATCGTTCAGGACAAACCTTAAAGATTAATGGTAAAATTCAATGATGAAAATGAATAAACAATGTAAGATTTGATCTTAATTTCAACGCGATTTAAATTCCCTATGGATTCCCAATTGATTTTTCGATTTTGATACAAAAACGAGTGCGATCGAAGAGATAAATTTAACACCACCTGCCGTCTCTTTTCCATACACTTGAGAATTTTGAAATTTAAACGAGTGATTTCTGTAATTTCCACTGAGTGAGGAATTTTAAATGAGTAAATACAGGAGACCATTACCTTGTAAATATAACAGGGATAACATAGAATTTTCCAGAAAGGGAGTACTACATTAGAATCTTTCTGCATGTTGGGAAAAACCACACCTGTACAACACGAGAATTTTTTTGTTTTGCTTTTTTGTTCTTTTGTGTGCGTGTTTTTAAGGCGAGTACAGGCTAGCGCGAGGCGAGCGCGGATGGCGTGCCACGCCCCCTTGCGTTTGATTGCGCTAACTTGAAAAACGCCAAAAAAAAAAAAAAAATGACGCCTGTTCTGCTGGCTGAGGGAGGGACGGGTCATCCAGCACCTCTTGAGCGATGCCCATGATAAAGCAGATAACTCCTTTTATCTTCTTTCTTCCTCCTGTCCTCCATGAAGAGAACTGCATTGTTTCTTCTTTTTTTCGTCTTATGAAAGCCGATGACCAAGTGCAAGTGGTTGCAGATCAGCAAGTTGTAACAAAGAGGATGGAGGTGCAGGGCAAGGACATTTGTCTGAAAATAGTGTAAGCTATTTTAACATACCATTCTGGTTTAGACTTCTCTAAGGATTGATAGTTTACTTCCCAAACTCTCTCTTTCTCTTTTTTTTTAAGCAAAAATTATCCTGACTTATCTAGCTATACCTAACCCACTCACTTATTCAGTGCCTTGACCTTAACTGTGCACTGTCTATCATTCTTTTACACAGGTGCATCTCACATGTACAAATAATTACTACTTTCCACAATTATCACATTTTCAATGTCATCAGACCGTAAATGATTACAATTTTATTTGTAAGGAACATGAATACTCTCAGGGTAGATAGCCCATTAAGATTTTCCAGGTGAAACAACGATTGCTAAATTGCTCTTTTGAATTTTCTTTTTTTTTTTTGCTTTCCTGTAGTGATACGGCAGGATCTGTGCTGGAAAACCAGAAATCTACAAAGGCGCTCTATAAAGGGGCCCAGGTTAGTTTACTTAATCAGTCATATTGTCTTTGAGGAACTTTCTGTAACTTTTAACAATTCACAGCTGAGATGAAAAATATGACTGAGAAGCTGATTTTCTGCCTTTCACCTCCTTATGATCAATTAATCATAAAACTGATAAATTCAACTGACAGTGACAAAACAAACTTATGTGGGGACTGAAAATCACTGACTTATGATTTGTCATGTCATAGGGTATCATGGTCATATATGACGTCACCCACAAACATTCATTTGATGATGTTCCAAAGTTGCTGCAGGACATAGATGAGGTAATTACTGATATCTCAAGAGAAATATTTAGGTGAACATTTCAAACTGATTATGTTTTATTTTTTTGAACGAACGATTGCTGTCCAAAAAAAACACCCTTTTGAAGAGGCTAAGTGCCAAAATTGTCTATCCTGCGTTAGGACTCAAGACCCCTGGAACAGTTTGGCAGCATATACCTAAGTTGGTAAAAAAAAAAGGATGCCCTTCTCCGCCCATTTTTAGCACCCCAACCGCTTTTGCACACCTTGTACTTATTAGCTAGATGAAGAATTGTCTCTTCTCAATGTAATAGTATTCTATTCCATTTTTAGCACCTCAACTACTTTTGCACAGCTTGTTCTTGTTAGCTAGATGAAGAACTATCTTGTCTCAATGGAGTAGTATTCTATTCAGTTGACTAGCCTTAGGCTAATAGAATACTACTACGAAATTATCAAATATACGAGGTATAATTGTAACATCATTTCTCCCTGATAGCATCGTGAGGGTGCTCCAGTGGTGTTTGTCATTGGAAACAAGTGTGACTTGGAGGACAGAAGAGTAATCTCCATAGAAACTCTGGAGGGGGTAATTTTGAGGAGATTTTATAATATATATTTTCTATGTATATTAACATTGTGTTTTATGTGTTTGACAACTTTCTATCTTGGCTTTGAGTCTACAGCATAACAGTTCGCAAAGACATTTATCGTATTAGTTCAATAAAGATAAAAGTTGTAAGAAAAACAAAAACATATGAAAGGGCTAATTCTTTTGATGCACAGTACAAATCATTCTACAGATTTTCTTATAACATGTTTTATTACCTTGGAATGGTCTGAGGCGATGGTAAAATTTGATGGTTGAACAGTATTATGTCTTATGAACGATGTCCTAAAGCAGCAGATTGAACTCTGAGCAACCCTCCCTCCCCTCCTTCTCAAAAACCAGTCCTGTTAGTTGTAAAATATGCTGGAAAATCTGAGTAACGGTAACGAGGTACTGGTAACGAGTATTTTAAAAATATCTTGAAAACTAGTGCGGTAAACGTTAGTTTAAAGAGGGAAGTTTAGTTATGTTCTGATCATATGTTTCTGTATATTTTCCTTAATTTTCATCTTTTATTCTTTTTCTGCCTTTCGCGATCGTAATAAAGACAATTTTCCTGATTCAGCTTATCCCTTAGAGGAATACGGACTGCAACTCCTTTATCTCCGATTGTACATGAAGCTACATGATGGGTTCCAAATAATGGCTTTTTTTAATTTTAAATCTAAAAGAATAAAAAAAACTAACAAATTTCTATCATCTCATTTGATCCTAGTTTGCCACAGACCATGGTGTTTACTTTTTAGAAGTCAGTGGCAATACCGGTGTGAAAGTCAAAAAAGCTTTCGATCTGATGACGGAGGAAATTCTTCTCGCCGAGAACCAAGATCAAGCTACAGCTCACGCTAACCACTGCAATTTGCTTTGAGATATCTACCAAAAGACGCTGTATTGTAGTTTTAATCTCAACACTTCTCACATTTTAATTTCAATTTCGTTCATAATTCATTTTCTTGAACGCAGCTATACTTGTTCACATTTTTTCAAGGGTGTGGCAATCATACCCGCCTGTCAAAGTAGCAGAGGGTAAAAATCCTTCTAAAACGATTCCGGAAAACAGAAACACTAATCACATCAAAGTCGAAAATTTGCAACACATGAACTTGAATTTCTAAGCCTGTTAGAATGCGGTTTTTTATTTTTTCTTTGAGTGCCTTGGAAAATTGAAAATTTCTATGAGCACTCGCACCGTGGGTGAGAAAGGGTCGTTCTACCTGGTATAAGCAATGTAATGTGGTGACAATGTAATGTGGTGCCATTTCTCCTCTTCCTGTCAGAAGAGAAGAAGTGGTGTCCTTTGCCTGTATATACTTTTTTTAATTCTCTGAGTCTGTTTGAATTCTGATACGTTTTATGAAAAACATTTCGATTGTAATAGTTTATGGATTCCATACTGAGGCATTCGCTGAAAGAGACTTGACTGTACCTTTAAAATCTGCAATAAAGCGCTTATTGGAAATCTGTAGATAACCTTAGTTATTACCTTATGTCCATGTCAATCCACCCTCCTCACCCTCGCTACGCCATGAGATCTCATCAAGGGTCAGTCGCGCTAAGAGCTGTTTGGCGCCACCAAGAGATAGAATGTTAACTTTTCTGTATGATGGCGTAGAGGAGGGAAAGCTGGCGGAGTCTGCACTGAGAGGATACCTAATTTTCCTGTGGAATCTTTTTAACAGACAAAATTTTAGGGCATCAGGAGCCCATTACCCTGAGGGCATGTACTAAATTTCTCCACACCCCGTATTTCTCGACCGCGACCATTCTTGAAACCGAGGATACCTGTGCTGTGACCTGTGGCTTGCTTTTCTTCCCATGAATCTTTTCGGAAAGCAGGCACAAGCGGGAAGTTTAAGAATGCCATGTCAGACAGGTCTAGGTTGTATGAAGGAAGGGGATTTAATTCAGTTCTTGGTATTAAAAATTACATTTTATTATCCAGAGTTGTAAATCTCTTTGCAGATGTGGGTCATGTCTTTAAGGCGAACGAATACATTGAGGTCCATGAACTCATTTACATTTCAGGTTGTTCTTTCATTTTAAAGTAGGTGTCAAACTTCCGAATTCTAACCTTTATGGCTTGGTGCTTGACTATAACATGAATTTGTGAAAAAATTGATACTAGTTTAGTAACCGGGCATAACTGATGAACCCTGTAATCAAACAAATCAGGAACTTTTTCAGTTTGTTTCCAGGAAGGGTTACTTAGAGACTGCACTTTCTTAACGTAACGAAGTCGAATAACTCAAGTGTGTAATCGTTGATTATGGCTTTTCTTGTGAAACTGGTTGCTCTCAAACCCTAGACATTTCAAATTGATATGTTATCTTCAAGAATATTCACGTAGAGACAGTAAAACTACAAGAACAGTTCAATGAATTTGAGATTGCTATTGTTGTGGCTGTAATAAAGATATTTTTTGTAAAAGAGAAATGGTATACACCTGTAAGCATTGTGGCAAGTGTTTTGATGGGCTGTCAGGACTCAAACGACATAAAGTTATTCACTCAAGAAAAAAGCCCTATGTGTGTTCACATTGTGGAAAAGCTTTCACTGACACAAGTAATTGTTGGCAGAATAAAAGAACACAGCACAAGAAAGTAACATGGGAACACGCATACAGAAAGAAAATGCAACAAACAGAGCATTGACATTAGCCAAGCAAAAGAAGGGAAAGTGAAACAAAGAGGTCTCAGTCAGAGAAAAAACCTTTGAGGAACAAAACTGCCAACAGAAAGTTGGGCAGACATAGCACAGATCTACACTGTAGTAGTTCTCACACTAAACACCAGTCACATAAATGCAAGAAGTGTGATAAGAGTTTTGGATGTGCATATAGCCTTTGGAGACATGACATTATACATTCAAACAAGAGGCCCTATAAGTGCAAGTACTGTGGAAAATCCTTTAATGATAGTGGGAATTGTCGTAAATATGGAAGACTCCATGAATCGTTTAAGCAGCTCGGCAAATTTGAAAGCAAAAGAGCTAAGAATCCAAATCTAATTGTTTGTGCCTCATGCACTACATGGGTTTTTTCTGTTCAGAAATGTAATGCAAGTGCGGTTGAGTCAGAAAACTGTTGGGTTTGTCGAAAATCATTTGGTAGGGAAGCACTCCAAAACCACTATGAGAAGGGTACATGCATATTAGAATTGTTATTTAGCAAATGAATGTAGAACATGATACAGCTACCAGAAACTGCTCTGTTAACTGAAACCAAGTTTTTACTCCTATAAATTGCAGTAACATTGTCAAAGAAAAATGCAATAAGGAAAAAGCCAAAATGAAAAAGTTGCTTATAAAATTATTTTCAGACCCAGAAACTCATGCCCCAAACTCGTCAAGCAGTCTGTGCCTTGGAGGTGCAGTTAACTCTGTCTTTAGAACATAGTTCACTGAAAATAGGCCTATTGCCCTAAGTGACACTATTTAACATGTGTTTTTCAATACTCTCACAACAAGGTCACAATTTTTGTATGTTTTCAATAGTTATCACAACTCTGTGACATGATGTCAAGCTCTTTCAACATGGGATAGAACACCATTAAACATTTAGAACTTTGTGGAAAGTATTTCCATAAGATGTTAAGGATTCTTTTGATTGTTCAGATGATATTCTGCGCATTTTACTTTGCAAGATTATATTTTTTAAATTCTCAGATCTATCATATTGTAATGAATTTCTTGAAACTTTTTTCATATTTGCTACAATAATACAGACATGAAAGCATATCTGTTGTCTTCAGTCTTTTTCATTTTGCCACCAGAATGCTACAATCCTTGAAGATTTGTACAAGTAATAACATGATTTTGAGTGCAAATTGGTGGAAACAAGGGCAAGTCAAGTTTCCAAAGACTAAAAATTGCCCAAACCCTACATGCTTGTGCAATTTGTAGCCTTTGAAAAATTTTTGAAGTGCTTATTTACACCAAATTGCACTTGAAATAGTTTTGTTACTTGTCAATGATTTACATGAAAAAAGCATCACATAAAGTTAAGACAAATGGAATTTTGAGAGTGTGTGCATACTCTTTGTAGTTTGCACCTGTGTTACAACTTTGCACTCTTGTTACATAAAAAATGCACCCACTTTCAGTCAATCAGACATGTGTAGTTATTTCATGTATATTGTTACAGCCTTAACATGGCTCAGACTGAGAAATGCTGTCCTCCATAGCTAGGTTTCCATCAAGGATTATGATATTGAGAACTGTAATAACGATCTGACCAGCCAAGTAAAGTACAGGGCAGCATAAATATGTGGAAGGCAAAAGGAAGTTTGATATGTTTGTGAAGGTGGTGATTAATGTGGAAGCCTGATGCTCTTTCAGAAAGTGCTAAGAAAAAAAGGGAAGAACTTTTAATGTATGTTAAGATGGAAAAGTAAAGTCAAACTTCATGGTGGAGGTGAGTATTCCTTTACCTCTTTAAGATTGATTGTGAGGTAAATTTTCCTAACAATTCTAGTACATTCACACTGTCAACCAAACAGGTAGATTATAGAAATTAAGTAGTCACCATATTAGAACTATTGTGTTGATATCACACTAAATATTTGAGTGACCAAAGAAATGGGTGATTGTAAAGAGGAAATTTTTCAGATCTAAGGGTGAAAGGGTGCAAACTACTTCCCTTTATTGTTGTCTGAGAGAGATAAGTCCAGTCTAGCATTTACATATCAATTGCCTCTGATAGATCAGTCCAGTCCAGTGTTATGTAATCCTTTTAACTAATCCTTTTAACTTCCTGAGTTTGACGCGTTGCCTAGGGCCCAGTCCCCAATGGACTTGTTCCCACTTCCTCTCCCGTCTGCTCTTAGTACGCATGTGATCTTCAGCGAAGTAGGCGGAAAGGCAATGGCGAAGAAAAGTTATGACTACCTTTTCAAATTGCTCCTTATAGGAGACTCAGGCGTTGGGAAGACGTGCATTTTATTTCGTTTCTCTGACGATGCATTTAACACGACGTTTATCTCGACGATAGGTAAGTGAAAGCGACAATGTTCCCCTGTTTAGCTGCACTACGCGTAAGCTTGTAAACTATGTAAGTGATCTAATTGATCTCGCTCTGATACTGCAAGGAGGAAAGCTCATAAGTCGTCCTGTGTCCCTCTTCTTTGTGTATTTTATGGATAGGTTTTGGTTTAATGTGCCAAGGTTTAATTCAAGCCAAAATTCAAATTGATGTAGTTTAAATTTACATCTTCAAAGCTGCTCCATCTTTCGACGCCTTTGATCTGTACTTTGGCAAGGGGCTTCTCAGAGCAAATGTGAATCATTTCATCCCAAACTCATTGGACGACATACAGCACATCAATATTACTTTGCATTTTGAAACGTTTAAGCTTTCACGAAAAGGAAAATGACAATTCACGAAAAAATTTTGCGCGGCTGATTTTCAATTGAAATGTTTGAAAACGCTTGGTAGCCACATTCTAAAGTCCGAAAGGTCACAACTATTTTAGTCTTGTTACACATCCACATTCCTTGAGCACAGACATGCCCATGTTTGCATAGGACTTGAAAACGATTCACTCTTTATTGGATGATTAAAAGGTAATTTTACCAGTTTTCTTTATTTGCGAGACAGTTTCCCCTGCAAGTGTGATGATGGCACTTCGTATTATACGGTAGTTGCTTTCGATTTGTCAAAAATTCCCACAGCATTGATTTCCTGTGTCCTCTCTAACGAAGCTACACTTTCACTGTACAGTTACACGCTTCCATCTACCATTAATGTCTTCATTATCAAATCATTGCCAAAATGATTTGTCAATTTTACCAGAGAGAAAATACTTACCTCTGCTACTATCTTCAGCCAAGGAAATTAGATTAGCACACAACTTTCATTTCAGTCCGTTTAATTGTGATCTTTTTTACTTTTAGTAAAGAATACTGTATATCTTTAATTCTGTAATTAGTGTTGAGGCCTTTGGTCGGTTTTATTTATTTATTTTTATTTTATTTTTTAACTTTCACTCCTTGATAAAAATTAATTTGTGAATTAAAATAATGTGCTACACACACTGAAACCAATATTTGCAGGACTCTTGTGAGTGGCCACTTTATATTCAGGTGATTCACTCTTATGGGTTTAGTAAATTGTACCACAGTGGTTAAACTCCAAAAGAACAGTGTAAGCAATCTGTAGTCAGCAGAATATGAAAATTCTGCTGTAGATATGATAACACTTGATAACAGAAATATGATGTTTAAAAAGTAGGCATGAAACAAAAGTTTTTTATTAACATGCTGTCTGTTTAATGCAAGGTCATTTTTTCTTTTTGTCAAGGATTAATTAATCTGATTTGCTGATCAACAATTTAACTATCCACATCTCACAACTCCATAGTTTTATATTTATTTAACTCTATACTGTGACCAAATATCATGCACCACAATGTATTACACAATCTCCAAACAAATGCAAAGGGATGGTGAAATACTTGATTTATAAAATGCATTTAAGAAAGAAATGGAGAGCAATCTTTAGTATATAAGTGACTCAGTTATGACAGACAACTGTAAAATTACCATGCATTATTCCTGAAATTTTTCATTCTCGTTATGTGATGGCCAATATTGGTTAAACTTTTCTGTACCAGTTATTTAATTCCAAATTTCTAGTTGTTCCTCCAAAACATTAAGTTTTGCTCATGTAAATATTTAAAATCACTTTTTTTTAGGTATTGATTTTAAGATAAAGACCATTGAGCTTCAAGGAAAGAAGATCAAGTTGCAGATATGGTTTGTTTGCTTGTTTTGCAGTCTACTTTTAAAGCTGTGTCTACAATTCCTTACCCCATTATGAAACACTAATGGTTGAGTAATCGATTGGGGATGAATTTTAACCATCGCTGAAACTGGATTTGCATGTTAGCTGTTCAGAGGCTTTTTGCAAGCCAGCCCAACTTTGTCTATTTTACTTCAATTTCTATAAAAATGTCTTTTACATACTGCTCAACAATTGTCTATATTAGACTTTGGCAAAATAGAGGACTCTTGGTTTGAAGTTTTTAGTTTGTGATCAATTGAAAATCCCTCCTCTAAAAAAGCCACTTAAAATGTAAGGAGTTTTTTTTTTTACAGGAAAAAAAAACTTTTGTGCTTCTAGAATTTTTTTGTGGGATGGAGTGGGTCTAGAAATGTATGGATGATAAAGAACTATATCTTGATTTTTTGAACAAAGGTGACAGGTTACATAATATTTCATAAACAAGGGTGAGTGTTTCATCAGGGTCTACAAACATGAGAAAACTGATGGAAGCATGTGGCCTAAGGCCAAGTGCTTTTATTATTTCAAATGTTTGGAAATCCTGATGAAACATGAAGCTTGAGTTTTTGAAATGGCTTCTCAAAAGGGCCTAATTTATTAACAATAACACAAAAACAGAAATACCAGGTAAATGGTCAGTTTTTGTTTTCTTTTGTTTCATTATTGCATGTCCATAGTTGTTAGTCAGTGTCATGAAAGGTGTTGTGTTTTTTGACAACTTCAGCTTTTTAATTAAAAGCAGTCACACTTTGCATTAGTGTCCTCATTTGCAATTTTGAGAAATGGAAGAAGCAGCTATGGAAAGGTCTTCCCAGTTTTGACCACTGAAAAGTTCTAAAGAGGAAGTTTCTTTGCCCAAACATTCAAAGCCTAAAAGTACTCAGTAGAAACATAAGTGGGCTGTTGATATTTTCTGAAATTGGCAAGCTGCGTGTGAGAGTTTGCATTCTTTTGGAAATTGATTTCCAAACACACGTGGATATCTAATCATAGGTGTTTGGATCTGTTCTTTACTGGGTGTCAAGGGGCATCCATGTGACCCAAACAAGGCTGCACAATTGGTTAATTACCTCATGCATTATTAATAAGTTTGAGAATTACTAATACAGTGCATGGTTCCTTGAACTCTCTGATCACTTTGCAGGGATACAGCTGGCCAGGAGCGTTTCCACACAATTACTACATCATATTACAGAGGAGCAATGGTGAGGTTATTCATAGTTAGGATGGTGTTGGTCTTGATAGTCCATATTTATCTGTGATTAACAACCTTTTCATTTCCAAGAGCTGATAGACAATATTATTGAGTCTCCTTTTAATGATATCTTGGTGATATCCCCTGGCTGATGATTTCTATATTCTCATGATCTCTTCTTTCATTGGTGATACATTGATGTTGTTGGGAGAACTTGAATTTTGATTTCCCTTGGGTGGTCCTGCAAACTGGCCTACTTTGATTGAATTTCCCTTTCATTTTCCCTTCCATTTCACAATGGAACAAAAAGTCATTAAATGAGTGGTGATTTCATTGGTGATTTATTTTTATGCAGGGCATTATGTTGGTCTATGATATCACTCAGGAGAAAACGTTTGATAACATCTCCAAGTGGCTGAGGAATATTGAAGAGGTAATATTGACAAGAAAAGTTTTCTTTTCTACTTCGGCCAAGCTTATGGCTTGTGACCCTTGTATGTAACATAGTAGAAAGTTGTTAGATAAAAGCCTGTTTTGGGCATCACTTTAGTAGACAAGGTGTAATATTAATAGCAGAAAAATCTGCAAAAGAAGGTAAACATGAATCAATAAAAAAGGAGGGACACTTGGGACAGGCCAAAGTTCTTGCTTCTTTCCATCACTTTATGTTTGCCTTTCTCTATTGGTACAGTCATGGCATGTTGACTTAGAGTTCAAGACTCAGACTGATTACTTCTTCTGACTGACTGATATGAGAAATAAAATTTTCTTGGCAATTTCAGCATGCAAATGAAGATGTTGAAAAGATGATCCTTGGTAACAAGTGTGATATGGACGATAGAAGAGTCGTTACCAAAGAACGTGGAGAACAGGTGAATTAAGTGAACAATTGGTGCATTGTATGAGGTGCACTTTTTGATATACTGTCTTTGTTTCATATTAATGCTGTCATACCCTCTTTTATTAACTTTTGAAGAAAGCTCTAAGACTACATGAAAGCCTCTATTGAAAGTAAAAATCTAATACTACTGTATTTGCATGCTCAGCCTTAATTAACAAGGAAAACTTATTTTGTCTCCTTTGTTGGAATTACACATTGAAGTGTAAGGTGTGTTGACAAAGGCTAGAAGGTTACACTCTGTATAATCAAGGAATCTGGAAAGAATTAGTAACAACTAAAACATTTTTTGCAAATGTGCCCCAAAAAAATGACTGTGGACACCAGTGTCCATTTTTTTTTAATCATGCTGATGAACATAGATACATACTTATGATAACACAGTATGGCCTATCATTTTCTTTGAACATTTAGGGCTTCTAAAAAAGACTTTAACTTGACTTTAACAATGATTCAACAGTGAAAATAAAAATGATATGGTTTCTGGGGCATACTTTTCTTTTTTTCAGGGTATTAAAGTATTTTCCAAAGGTACTTTTTGGAGAGAGTATGTCAATTAGATGTACTGCTACAGTAGCACTTGCTGAACAACACTTTTTTTTGTCATAGATTGCCAGAGAACATGGTATTCGCTTCTTGGAAACAAGTGCCAAAACCAATGTCAACATAGAACAGGCATTCTTCAACCTAGCAGAGGATATTCTAAAGAAACAATTGACCAAAGACAACGAGGAAACTTCCCAAAACATCCATGTTAACAATACACAAGAGAAAAAGTCTGGCTGCTGTTAAAGAGAGTGTTAACAGCAGTTATATTTTTGTTAAACAATTCACTTAAAATGTACAGTTAATTCTTATGGGGAACAGTCAGTCCCTGGAACAGAAGTGTATGTAGTTTCCATGTGTGACATTAATGGAGAGGATGGACTTCCCACTTTCCTCACACAGAAAGTTTTAATTGGTGATGTAGTGTTTTGCAATCCTCTTGATGATATTGGCAAAGAGATTGATCCATGGGCTACCTATGAGAAGTTGAGTAATCTGTGTGTTTAGGGTGGGAAGAAAAGCAGTGGTAACCTTACCTTAAGTTCCAATAGATCAATTCTCTCTAGAGATTGTCATACATTCCTTTTAATGAGAATTGGATGTAAGAGGTACATTTGGTCAATATTCAAGTGGCATAATTTGTGGTGCTTCTCCATTTGTTGCAAAATAAGTCTTGGAAATCAAAATCAAAACTTTAGTTTCTCAGGATATTTGAATGAGATTGTAGCCATAAATATTATAATTCATGTAAAACATTTTTTTATAAAGTGAAGTGATTTGGTCTGAATGGTAGTTACTCTTGAATAACTCTGATATTTGGGGTAATGTAGAAGAATAGACTGCGGAAAGGGAAATTTAAACAACAACTTTCAATGGTAATGAAATGTAATGATGCATGAAATGTAATCAATTTGTATTGCCATCCACAAGGTACTGTGCTTGGAATAAATTGGCTTTTGTCCCAGTCCTTTTCTTACCAGGCAGAAGGGGTGGCATCTTTTAAAGGTATGAGAGGGTTCTTTTAAGTACCATTAAAAGCTGGATTATAAATGCATAACTTGAAATGAGTTTTGTTGTTGGAAAAGCCAAATTGTGACGTGAGCAGGGTAAAATAATGGATTTGGGGCAAAACACAGGAAAATTTAAGAATAGCCACAAGTGTACTATTTTTCACCTCTATGGCCTTATATTTTTATGGTCTAAGGCCATAGGTACGTTATATACGTGGACTTAGTGTGCACTTTGGATATGGTATATATCACTGAAATTCTCCGTTGGAAAGGATTGCAGGCGCTCTCCGTGTTATAGTTCTCAGGCTCTCATGAGACTTGCCGCTCGGGTTTTAAACGACATGCATTTATTTTGTCGAAAACCTACCATATTTAAAACGGAAACAATTTCAGCGTCTCAAATATTAGATCAATTTTGGTCTACCAAGCCGAAACAAAAGACACAATCACTTTGGAGGTTTCAATTAGAAGAGAGGAGGAGATCTATCAGAAAGGCAGGAAACTGATAAAGAGGGGAAATCAGTTACTGAAGCATTTGTGGTCCTTGATTGGTTCTTTGGCTCGATTACCATACGCTATTCAGGAAACTAGCCTTTGCCATATAAGGCTGTACACAGCTATAAGGAGCTATACAGAGCTCTACAAAGCTATACACTGCTATACACGGCCATACACAGCTATACAGGGCCATATTAGGCTATACACAGCTATAAAGAGCTAGACACGGCTATACAAAGATACAAACAGCTATACACGGTTATACAGGGCTCTAAACAGCTATACACACCCATACAGAGATGTGTAAAAATGGTTGAAAGAAATATTGACTTCCCGTTGCTATTCTATTGAACGCTCGTGATCGAAATCGTTTTCAATATTGCTGTAACGATTCAATTTGCATCAGATTTATTTGTTCCTGAAAGGTGGAGGATTAGGCACATCAAAAACGAAATTAGGGGCGTCCGCAATTGTGTCTTCTAGAGTAAAAATAAACTAAATAGGCTAACACCTTAATTTCCGCGAGTGTTGAGTTGAAATGGCGTTACTTTCAAAAATTATATTGTTAAACCTTACTCAGGGATCAGTTTGTCATCTAATAGGTATAAAAATGCCGTAAAATGGATTTTCATAAAATTTATTGAATTTTTAATCCGGAATAGGCCGTAAATATCACTTAAGTGCTCAAGCGATCGTAGAAAACCTGCAGAGCTAAACGAAAAATGTTATCCACTACTTAGTTGTTAATTCAAATGGCAGCAATTGAAGCAAATGCAGACACTCTTCTTAAGTCTTCCCGTAACAGGTAACCTGTTCTTTCGAATCATTCTATCTTTTTTTTTACACACAAATTGTCTTTTTCACGTGTTTATTTCTTTGATAACACTCTTTTACAACAAGTAAAAAAGAGAATGCCGTCAATGAGGGAATGCAGAACTACCGTTGAAATACGAGTAATTCAGAAAACTACTGTGGTCAATTAAACAAGCAACACAATGTACTTATTCTGAAGCAATCTAACATGAACGAGTTCGCATACGACTAGTTATACCTTTTCCAACATAAACATGAAATGCGCAGCGTGAACCTTTTGTTATAATAGCAGGATTCAAAAGAACAAAAATAGTCCTACAAAATCTATGTAATCACTCAATTTTGACACAAAGCTGTATTTTCTTAGTAATTTCTCTGTGGATTAATAGTGTGGATTAGAAATCAGGAATCACTGGTCATCTTTTCTCGTGTTTTTCATCCATTAGAGTCTGATTGGACATGAGATCTGACAAGGGTAACTTTTTGAAAACATTCTTTTAGCATAAAGAGCGGATTTAAAAGGTAACGGAAGTGAAACCTTCAAAAATTTCATTGAACAGGATAGAGTAGTTTTATCTTATGTGTATTTTACGAATCAATGCTTCTTAGGTGCGCTATTTTAACCGCGATCTGTGCTGTAGACTTCGCAGCTATGTTATAAGACATGTCCATAACAGCAGGAGACAAATCATGCAATCTTTTTGAATTTATGGAAAGTCCCTGACTTAGCAACACGTCCCGGCAAACCATCAAACAAAGCGTTTCAATGTTTCTCCAGGTTCCACAATCCACCCCTGTATTTTAACCTATTATGATCTTTCACCCCTTTTTCCATGGAGAGACGGTCGCCCTATTTCGCTTCTTCCGTTTTAGGGGTTTTTCCCGGGTCAGCTCGAGCTTGAAGAAGTTTCCGCAATTAAAGCATCTGCAGGCTTCGGTGCATCCTATGCCACCCGCTACACACGAACACTTGCGGAGACCGTCTTGACACGACTTGTGACTTGCATTTAGTTCTCTAGCCCCTTTGCTTTTTTTTCCGTCTCCGCACCTACAGCCTCTCTTCAGACTCTTTTTTTATTATCACAACTTCATTGGAATTGCATGTATTTTGCAATTCTAACATCTACACGAGCGGGTACAAGAGTGGTTCATTTTGTGGCACGGGAATTTACCAGAAACACAGGAAATATCTGAAGACTTATTTTTCTTGTTTTTACCGCAAGTGCATCTTGTTTCCTTCGCTTGTTCGTCACAGTCATTATCACTTGAAACTTCTGAAACGATGAAACCATGTCAAGAATTAATACAATGGTTTTCGACAAGGTTTCGACAAGTTAAAGTCATTAGTATATACTAAAGCAGTGGATAGCGTTGTTAGTACACACTGTTTTAGTGTGTACTAAAAAAAACTATTCGCCTCAGTGTCGTGGCTAGTAGTGGATATTTACCAAGCCGCTTCGCGGCTCGTTAAATATCCACTTCTAGCCACCTCCACTTCGATAAATAGTTGTTAATTATATCTGAAATAGCCTCGATTTACAGAATTTGTTTTAGCACAAATGAAGAAGACATCGTTTTCTCCATTAAATGATTTCCGGCTCAATTTACGTAAGCATTAACAACTTAGTACTAGTACAAGACTTCAACCCAATAAAGGTGCCAAGACATCGGGAGGATCTCGAAAAATTCTCAGTTCAAACTTCGATATGTAAGGGAGTATGTAACATTATCAGAATTCATTATAGCTAGTTTAACCTGGGGTTATTTAACAGTTATTGAGTATTTTTTGTAGCATCATAGTAGCCGGACCCAGAATAATCACATGCAATGTAGATGGGTGTGGTAGTAAGGAACTCGTGTGGTAGAAATGGCACCATAGGGGTTGAAGGGAGAGTGGTAATAATCACAATTGGAATTTTCAAGAGTTAAGCTGTTGCTCTCGCGCATAAATCACCAACTTCATTTGCAAAAAATCCGTCTTGGCTAAATTTGTAAACTTCCTCTAACTCATTAACGCCGGTTGTCATCCAGTCTCTGTACTCTTCAATGTTATCAGAGGCTTCTTTCACAAACAGCTCCCTAAGTCTGCGTGTGTCGAAAGCTTCACTAATCCAAGGGAAGTGCAGTGCTCTTCGATATGTTCCCTGTATCCCCTCAAGTGTTTACTGAGCCGCGAGGTAACTGCTCTGAAAAAAAGTTTCCATTTTTTGCGATCTTGTCAACTTCAAGGTTAAAACCCGAAAGGTTCCTCATTAAATTATCCATGTGTTGAGCAGTTAAGTCTAATTTCGAAGAATTCATCTTCATCTCTCCTTCTATAAACTTTTCAGTTTTTAAACTGGTGAACCAAAGGAAAGCCAGGATATCTACCTTTTTTTTTACATCTTTCCGTACAGGCGTCCATTTACCTGAGATGTAGAACTCTTTAGATGATAAAAGCTATGATACTCCGGGTTTAAAGTTGCTCTACGAGTCCCGGAAAATTTACGTTACTCCGTGTGCTCATGAAGTCCTCTGCATGAGAAATTTCAAGTTGCTTCATGCTTCAAAGGTTACCTTCTCTAGTTATTTCAACTGGCATAACAGGCTTAGCTCTCGAGGTCAATCTATTAATTTGTCGTTTGCAATTCCAGGCAAACAGTGCACAACTCATTAGTACATTTCGCTTGTACGATTACGTAATCACAGGCATAACTCCTCTGACAACTCCACGCCCTTAATTTCATTTTTGATGTGCCTAATTCTTCGCCTTTCAGGAACAAATAAATCTGATGCAAATTGAATCGTAACAGCAATAGCTGTGTATAGCTCTTTATAGTTTTGTATAGCCTTATATGGCCCTGTATAACAATGTATAGCCCTGTATATGTGGGAATAGCTCTTTTTATCTGTGTATAACTTTGTATTGCTGTGTATAGCCCTGTGTAGCTATGTATAGTCCCATATAGCTGTGTATAGCTCTGTACAGCCGTGTATAGCTGGGTATAGCCTTATATGACCCTGTATAACAATGTATAGCCCTGTATAAGTGTGTATAGCTCTGTTTATCTGTGTATAGCTTTGTATTGCTGTGTATAGCCCTGTATAGCGGTGTATAGTCCTGTATAGCTGTGTCTAGCTGTGTAGAGCCCGGTATAGCTGTGTATAACCCTGTATAGCTGTGTAAAGCTCTGTATAGCTGTGTATAGCCCTGTATAGCTTGCCCTGTATAGCTGTGTAAATCTCTTTATAGCTGTGTACAGCTGTGTATAGCCCTGTATCGCCGTGTATAGCTGTGTATATCTTTGTATAGCCTTGTATAGCTGTGTATAGCTGTTTATAGCCTTATATGGCCCTGTATAACAATGTATAGCGCTTTATATGTGGGTATAGCTCTGTTTATCTGTGTACAACTTTGTATTGCTGTGTATAGCCCTGTATAGCAGTGTATAGCCATGTATAGCCATGTATAGCTGTGTATAGCCCT